AAAACCCCAAAACCCCAAAACCCCACAACGCTAATCTTGGAGTTAATTGAGTAAGATAAGTTTAAATCAAAATGTTAGATTTTTAATAATTTACTAGTAATAAAGCATTATTTTAGCCTGATTAAGAAGATTAATGAGTATTTATAATAAATAATTTAGAAACTTTGAATGCTTCCATCAGTAAAGACTAGGCAACAAACCAATTAGAGGGATTAAAATGTCCTGACTAATATTGAGACCAAGAATTTCCAGACTACCAATGCTTCTCATATTGCTCTTCCATCAATAAGCTCTTAAAAGTATTCTGCCTACTCTGTATAATAAAACAATTGCAAACAGAATTTTATCAATTTAGTAAAAAAATTCAAACCTATTGAAACACCTGAATCGCAAAAATAATAGAACTGTGAACCTTTAAGCACCAAAAAGCTTCTGGAGAGAATAAAATCTGTAAAGTAGATTAAGTCTTGTAGGCATCTTCATTATTAAGATAATTAAACAAAACATTTCCCTGTAAGCCATTAGCGATAACAAAAATAATTACTGAAATAAACTTTAAAAAAGCAAGTTAGTTTCCTTAACGAATAGCAAGTAAATTCATAATACTAATTGCTAACTGAGAATATTTGTGATATGGGAAATGAAAAGCACTTTAAGACTCAGACTACAAACTCAGATATTTCACTTAAGACATACTCTGATACTAGAGAGAATGCTCAATAAAAAGAAGGAAAATGGCTAGAAATGGAATCTAGAATATTCAATTTTCTGGCAGAAGAGGGTATCACATAAGAGTAACCTATATCTGATTATAAATTTGACATAAAAGCTCTTTTCAAAAAAAACAGTGGCTTGATAGTAAATCGACAGAAATAGCTCCCTTCAATTTTGATGAAAAGGGGGAATTCACTAAAATAGTTGCAGTAGTATTCTTCATTAACAGCCCTTACACTGTCTAATAAATGAAGCATATTACCCCTCACATTATTGGTCTGAACAAATCTTAAAGCTCTTCTATCTACATGAATTAGATGAATTGGGCTTAAAGACGAGTTCTTGAATCAAAGAACATTATCTTAAGAAACTTTGTAAATAAGAAATACCAATCACCATTTCAATGTGAATTATATAAAAACTTGGTTTGGATTGATCCACTTTTTTAAAAAAGTTTAATATCTACCGCTGAACTATATAAGCTCTCACATGGGGTTTTGGGGTTTTGGGGTTTTGGGG